ATGCGTTTCTGGTCTGTTTTTTATGCTTTTTTGATGCATTTTTGCTGCGTTCTGGTGTTTTTGATGCATTTTTGCATGCGTTTTCGTTGAATGCGTTTTCGTGCGCTTCTGGTGTTTTTTGATGCATTTTTGGTGCGTTCTGGTGTTTTTGCTGCATTTTTTTGTGCGTTCCGGTGTGTTTTTGATGCATTTTTTATGCGTTTCTGATGCGTTCTGGTCTGTTTTATATGCATTTTTGATGCATTTTTGCTGCGTTTCTGGTGTTTTTTGATGCATTTTTGATGCGTTTTTGGTGCGTTCTGGTGTTTTTGATGCATTTTTGTGGTGCGTTCTGGTGTTTTTGATGCATTTTTGGTGCGTTCCGGTGTGTTTTTGATGCATTTTTTTATGCGTTTCTGATGCGTTCTGGTCTGTTTTTTGATGCATTTTGCATGCATTTTGGATGCGTTCTGGTGTTTTTGATGCATTTTTGATGCATTTTTGGTGCGTTCTGGTGTGCATTTTGATGCATTTTTGGTGCGTATTTGCTGGTGTTTTTGATGCATTTTTGGTGCGTTCCGGTGTGTTTTTGATGCATTTTTTATGCGTAGCTGATGCGTTCTGGTCTGTTGTTTTGATGCATTTTTGATGCTTTTTTTGCTGCGTTCTGCTGTTTTTTGATGCATTTTTTGATGCGTTTTCGGTGAGCGTTCTGGTGTTTTTTTGATGCATTTTTGGTGCGTTCCGGTGTGTTTTTTCTGATGCGTTCTGATGCGTTCTGGTCTGTTTTTGATGCATTTTGCATGCATTTTTGGTGCGTTCTGGTGTTTTTGATGCATTTTTGGTGCGTTCCAGTGTGTTTTTTTGATGCATTTTTTTTTTTATGCGTTTCTGATGCTGTTCTGGTCTCTGTTTTTTGATGCATTTTTTGGTGCGTTCTGGTGTTTTGATGCATTTTTGATGCATTTTTGGTGCGTTCTGGTGTTTTTGATGCATTTTTGATGCATTTTTGGTGCGTTCTCTGGTGTTTTTTGATGCATTTTTGATGCGTTTTTCGGTGCGTTCTGGTCTGTTTTTTATGCATTTTTGGTGCGTTCTGGTGTTTTGATGCATTTTTTTAGTGCGTTCCGGTGTGTTTTTGATGCATTTTTTATGCGTTTCTGATGCGTTCTGGTCTGTTTTTATATGCATTTTTGATGCATTTTTGCTGCGTTCTGGTGTTTTTGATGCATTTTTTGATGCATTTTTGGTGCGTTCTGGTGTTTTTTGATGCATTTTTGGTGCGTTTTCGGTGTGTTTTTGATGCATTTTTTGCGTTTCTGATGCGTTTCTGATGCTTTCTGGTCTGTTTTTTATGCATTTTTTATGCATTTTTGCTGCGTTCTGGTGTTTTTGATGCATTTTTGCGATGCTTTGTTTTCGGTGCGTTCTGGTGTTTTTTGATGCATTTTTGGTGGTTCGTTCCGGTGGTGTTTTTGATGCATTTTTGATGCCGTTCTGATGCGTTCTGGTCTGTTTTTGATGCATTTTGCATGCATTTTTGGTGCGTTTCTGGTGTTTTTGATGCATTTTTGGTGCGTTCCAGTGTGTTTTTGATGCATTTTTTTATGCGTTTCTGATGCGTTTCTGGTCTCGTTGTTTTTGATGCATTTTTGGTGCGTTCTGGTGTTTTGTGATGCATTTTTGATGCATTTTTGGTGCGTTCTGGTGTTTTTGATGCATTTTTGATGCTATATTTTTGGTGCGTTCTGGTGTTTTTTCGATGCTATTTTTTATAACGTTTTTTTTGGTATATAATTTTTACCACGTTCCAGTGCAGTTCCTGTGCAGGAAAAATGCCGCCTGTGCTACTCTTTTTTCCTGCATATCCTGGAACGACAAGCCCTGATGTGATCTGTGACAACTGACCTCCGCCTCCTAATCACTGTTTCTGTTGTGTTTTGAAGGCAGGAAAAAAAACGTCCTGAAACGCCTCATGGAGTGTTGTGAACCGGCCCTTAGCGTGTTCCCTCCGCTCCAAAAAACGCGACGCGGCAGGCGATGTGTATCCACGATTGTCGCTTTTTTTTTTTTTTTAATTTCACGACCGATGGGGAAAATCGCAGCCCTTCCCCCGCATTCCTGGCCAGCCTGTTCGTCATTTCTTTCACCATCGGGACATTTCTCTTCCTCTGACATGTTTCCCGCACTGGGAGATCTTCATCAAAGAAAATGTTTGCGAAGTTTCCGGATGAAACAACATCCTCTGTGTGTATGAGTAACCAGGTGGCTGCACTTCCCCGATGTGACCAGCTGGGGGCGCCCAGGGAAAACACGTGTCTGGTGGATGGATGGAGGGAGGGAGCCCCAGTGTGGAGGAAGGGAAGGGAAGGGTCAGGAGGGGAAGGGACACAGGTAAGGGGCAGGACAGGTAAGGGCAGGGAGGGGGAGGGGGGCAACAGCCAGCTCGGGGCCATGATTGTGGAGGGGAAGGGGGAAGCCTGCCCAGGTGAGGGAGGAGCTCTTCCATCTGATGGGGGGTGGGGGGTCCTGCCATGGGGGGGAGGATTTTTGTGAACTCTGTAAGATGCTGGAGCCCCAGAGAAGAGATGAGAGCAGCGAGCCGGAGCCGGACAAACCTCCCTGCGATGGCTGCGCCGTGCGTGCGACTCCTAAAGGTACAAACTGATTCCACTTTTGTAATGGATGGGGGAGGGCGGCTAGACCCCCTACTTTAGGTGGGTGGGAGGGGGGCTTCACTCCTCTCTATCGGTGATGGGAATCCAAAATACTACCGTTGTCACCAGCACAGGAAGAGGGAAGAAAGAAATCGTTTTTTACCACCACTGGCGTCACCTGCTCATGGGGCTCATTCGCGCGCAGAAAAATAAAAAAAAAAAAAAATAAAGTTCAGGTGCAATTTTTCACCACCCCCCACCCCTTAGCACGGTGGCCAGAGAGAGGGGGGGGAACTCACAGAAAAACTTCCACAGCGCTCTGCAGTGCACGGCCGTCCCCCAGTGAATGGCGCTGCTCGCCCCAAATGGAGCGCGGTGGTTCAGCGGGGGTTTTCTGGGGGTTAGAAGGAGGCGGCGAGCGGCCGAGGGTAGGCAACAAATCCCCTCCCATCGCCGCCTGGTAAATGCTTGAAGACAAAAAAAAGGCCGGCGATTTGGCGCATTTCTGTTCCCGTTGAGGGGCGGCGAGGGTACCCACCCGTGTGCGTGATGAATGAGCCCCATGGGCCCGGCGTGCTGCACTGAATGCGGCCTATTTGCAATGTGTGCTACTGAGGCCGGCCCCCGGGGCGGCTTCATGTGCGGCCTCACACGTCGACACCATGCGGACTGTCGTGCGCTAATGTACTGAGATTCGCGCACATGAAATCCCTAATTCTGCGACTTCCAGCGCAAAATGTCGCATGAGAATCGTGGCACAGGCGAAATCGGCCAAATTTCAGGGCTGAGTCACAGGCGGAGGGGGGCGTCCAAGGGGGGGGGGGGCGGGGGTTACTGGTTGGGTTTTTTTTGTTACGACACACCTTTTCTTTGCTGTGGGCGCAAATGCGGAGGCGTTGTTGGCTAAAAAAAAAAAAGAAACTGGTGCATCATGCATGAACCAGGTCAAACGGGACCAAAATAATGGGGGTGATTGGGGGAAACAAAGCGGACCTGGCAGTGTAGTCTGGAGACAGGAAGTAAAAAAGAAACCCCCCCCATAGGGAAAAAAAATGCATTGTTAAAACTAAGGGAGAACATTTCTGAGAAGTCGGTGACACCCACTGAAAGAGAAGATGGATGTGACTCCCCTCCCCAGACCACCTTCTTCCCAAAAGGGAGGGAACCCCCCCCTTCCAGGGAGGTGACAAGAGGACCACCCTTCTTTCTGGCCGAGCCCCCTTTTCCCCCCCCCCCCCTCTGTCCCCCCCCCCTTCACCCTCTTCCCCTCCATCCCTTCCACCCCTCCCCCCCACTGTCATTCCCCCTCCCCCCCCCCCCCCCCTCCCCCCCCCCCCAGCCCCCTTCCCCCCCCCCCCCCCTTCCCCCCCCCCCCCCCCCCCCCCCTCATCCCCCCCTTCTTCCCCTCTCCCATCCCCCCTCCCCCCTTCCCCCCCCCCCTTTACTAGCCCCCTCCCCCCCTTTCTTCCCCTCTTCTCCACCCCCCTCTTCCCCTCTTCCCCACCCCCCCCTTCCCCCCCCCCCCTCCCCACCCCCTTTCTCTCCCCCCCCTTCTCCCCACCTCCCCCCCCCCCCATCTCCCCCCCCCGCTTTCTCCCCCCCCTTTCTCCCCCCCTTTCTTCCCCCTCTCCTCTGGGAACAGAGTGTTGATCACCCTGTAAAACAGGAAGTACCTGAACAAGGACATTCATGGCAGAGATCACCGGGGTCTCACAACACTGGAGTTCAATATAGAGGCAGGGGACAGAGCGTTGTCACCCTGTAACAGGAAGTGAAAGCCTGATTGAACAAGAACATGCAGGGACAGAGCGTTGTCACCCTATAACAGGAAGTGCCCTCAAACAAGGACATTCAATGGCGGCAAATCAGCCAAGGTGACAAACTCCTCAGGAGAGCAATAGGGGATCACGCGCTGGGACAGAAGCGTTTGTCACCCTGTAACAGGAAGTGCCTGAAGAAGATGAACATGCATGGCAGGATCACCAGGGTGACAACGCAGGACAGTCAATATAGAAGCGGGGACAGAGTGTTGTCACCCTGTCAACAGGAAGCGACCGTCCATGGCGGGACCACCGGGGGTTATTCTAATGACACCTGATATTTGTTGTCGAATGTTGAACATTGCCTGGTGATGACATTCAGAATGAAGCCTTCCCATCCTATTGGTCGGGTTTGTTTGTAAGGTCGCGGCGTACACCTGAATAATAACACCTTGTTTTTATACACAGTGAATGTCATCACTGGGTCTCTGTCTGCCTCTCTAGGCAAGAGCAGGCAGATCCCAGGCTGGTGGGAGGGGGCTGAGGCAGGGCACTGTACATAGCTTCCTGAAAACATCCCAGCCCTGGCCTCAGCACTCCTCTCAGGAGCCCTCGGATCCTAGGTGCAAGCAGTTGGGAGGATTTATGCAAATATCAAAATGCCATGGATGGGTGGGCGTATTCGGTCTGGAGGAATGTGGGTGTTCCTAGCCAAGCTTCTGACTTGAATTGCACCACAGACCAACCTTAGCTGGTGCTGAGCTTCCCTGATTGAAAGAGAACTGAAATCCAATGAATGAAAGGCCAGGGATGGGGGGAAAAGAGCTACATGATGCTGGATGTCCCTAGCCAGGAAAAATTGAGGCGGAGCTTACCTGTCTGACCTGGCTGCAGCTTCTAATGCACATTGTGAGACGCTCCCAGTGTGCGGTGGTGAGATCATAGGAAGACGTTCCCAGTCCAGGGGAGGAGCGCCGGACACCTGTGCAAGACTGAAGGGGAGGAAGTTCAGTACACCCTGTGCAAGACTGAAGGGGAGGAGCCGGTACACCTGTGCAAAGACTGAAGGGGAGGAGCCGGACACCTGTGCAAGACATGAAGGGGAGGATTCAGTACCGGGACAAGACGAAGGGGAGGAGCCGGTAACACCTGTGCAAGAGACTGAAGGGGGAGGGGGAGGAGCCCGGTACATCCCTGTGCATGACCTGAAGGGGAGGAGCCCGTTTACACCTGTGTTGCAAGACTGAAGGGGAGGATGCTTAGGTACACCTGTGAGCAAGAACTGAAGGGGAGGAGCCGGGTACACCTGTGCAAGACTGAAGGGGAGGAGCCGGTACACCTGTTGCAAGACTGAAAGGGGGAAAGGTACAGCACGACTGAGACACCTGTGCAAGACTGAATGGATGGGAGCCCGGTACACCTGTGCAGACAAGGGGACTGACACACACCTGGCAGGAGGAGGGGGAGCCGGTACACCTGTGCAGACTGACATGGGAGGAGCCGGTGGAGGGGAGGAGCCGCTACAACTGTGCAAGACTGAAGGGGAGGAGGTAGCCGGTAACACCTGTGCAAGACTGAAGGGGAGGAGTCCCGTACACCTGTGCAGGACTGGAGGGGAGGAGCCCGTACACCTGTGCAGGACTGGAGGGGAGGAAGCCCGGTTACAACCTGTGCAAGACTGGAATGGGAGGAGCGTAGACACAGCCCTGTGCAAGACTGAAGGGGGAGGAGCCGGTACAAACCTGTGCAAGACTGAGGGGAGGAGCCAGGTACACCTCTGTGCAGGAGACTGGAAGGGGGTAGGAGCCGGTACAACACCTGTGCGCTGCGGTTCCAGAGGAGCGTTCCGTCTACCAGCTGTGTGTGTTTCGTGTTCGGCTGGAAGATGAGGGAATTCAGAGGTTTCCTAGATCATTAGAGGTGGGCGGGCAACATTGCAATCGTTTTCCATTATTTACGTTTTTTCTCCTCTTGTTGTCACCTGATGATCCGGCCAGTAACACACCTCCTGTAGTGAGAGCGCCCCACTACTGGAGGAAGGATGCACCATTGGGTCAGCAGCATTGCTCAGTCTGGGGGATGGGGAGCGAAGTCCGTGTCAGATTGCCCTCCGCACCTATTTTCACCCCATTATAAGTTTGCTGATTCGCCGCCATTACTATATTTACCAAAAAAAAAAAAAAAAGGGGGTTAGCTGAATTTTTTGGGTAACCGTCCGGGGCCTCAATCAATATGGTGACATACTAGATGTCCCCGTGACCCTGGTCCATGAGGACCTTCACAGACGGACTTGTGGCAGGTCCATCGCCAGGTAGCTTTAATGCTTTCCTTAACGTTCTGATTGGGAAAAGTGATGTGTCAAAACGAGGATGACCTCCTGTGACCTTCTGGACGCTTGCAACTGTAATTGGACGCAGATGATGCACAGACCTCAGGAGCCGGGGGGCCCCCCCCCCTGGGGCCCATCTCCAGCGAGGGCACACTCGGCTTCCAGGGTCTTAGACATCGAAGGTCAGGAGGGTGCAAACTTGGTGGTAGAAAGATCGTTCTTGTGTAAATGAACTCCTGTTCTTAGTTCTATCTATATGGATCAACATTCATCTGGGGCCCTCGCCTCTTAGGATGCAAAATTCCTGGGAGCCCTCTGCCTTAGGGATGAAAATTCCTGGGGCCCTCGCCTCTTTGGGATAGACTAAAATTTCCTGGGGCCCTCGCCTCTTAGGGATGAAAATTCCTGGGGCCCCTCGCCTCTTAGGGATGAAAATTCCTGGGGCCCTCGCCTCTTAGGGATGAAAATTCCTGGGGGCCCTCCACCTTTTAGGATGGAACGTTCCTGGGGCCTCACCCTTTAGGGATGAAAGCAAAGTTCCTGGGCCCCTCCTCCTTTTATGAAGGAACGTATCCTCCGGGGCCCTCAAACTTTTAGGGAGGAAAGTTCCTGGGGCCCCTCACCGTTTCATGAAGGGAACGTCCTGGGGGCCCTCACTCCTTTTGAAGGAACGTCCCTGGGACCCTCACCTTTTATTGAAGGAAACGTCCCTGGGGCCCTCACCTTTTTCTGATGAAGGAACTTTCCTGGGGCCCTTTATTCAGGAACGTCCCGGGGCACCTCGCACCTTTTTACTGAAGGAGAACGTTCCTGGGCCCTCACCTTTTATGAAGGAACGTTCCTGGGGACCCTCACCTTTTATTGAAGGAACGTTCCTGGGGCCCTCACCACTTTTAATGGAAGGAACGTTCCTGGGGCCCCCCACCTTTTATGAAGGAATGTCTCCTGGGGCACTCGTCACTCTCACCCGACTTTATGAAGGAGTCTACGTCCTGGGGCCCTCACCTCTTTATAGAAGGAACGTTCCTGGGGCCCCTCACCCGACCGTTTATGAAGGAAGCGTCCCTCGGGTGTCCCACAACTTTTATGAAGGAACGTATCCTGGTGGGCACCTTCACCGTTTATGAAGGAAACGTTCCTGGGGCCCTCAACTATTTTATGAAGGCGTCCAGGACCTTCACGTTTATAAAGGAACGTTCCAGGGCCTTCAACTTTTATGAAGGAACGTTCCTGGGACTATTCACCGTTTTTTTTATTAAATTACGGAAAACGTTTCCTCGGGACCCTCACCCTTATTACTGAAGGGATACGTTCCTGGGGCGCACCCAGACTCGCCTTAAGGGAATTGAAAATTCCAGGGGCCCTCGGACCTTTTAATAGAAGCAAACGTATACTGGGGCCATCTCGACCTTTTTATGAGAGGTAAAGTTTCCCACGGTGGCCGCTCACAAATTTTCAGTGAAAGGAGAACGAGATCCTGGGTCCCTCACCATTCTTATCTGAACGTAGTTGATACGTAATATCGCTTGGTGGTTGAGCCCCCAGGCTGAGCTTTTATATGGGAAGGAAGCGTGTTCCTGGGGCCCCCTCACCATTTCATGAAGGAACAGTTCCTGGGCCCACCTTTTCATCGAAGAACGTTCCTGCGGCGGGGCCTTACACCGTTCTATGAGAGGGAATGAACCTCCCTGGGGCCCTCATGCATCTTCATGAAGGCGCGACCGTCCTGGGACCCTCATCGCTGTTGTATGATGGTCACGTTCCTGGGACCCTCACCCGTTTATGATAGGAACGTCCCCTGGGGCCCTCACCTTTTAATTGAAAGGAGTACGTATCACTGGGGCTACCCTCAACCAACCGTTTATATACAGGAACGTTCCTGGGCCCCTCGACTTTTAAGTAAAGCAACGTCCCTCTGGGTGGCGCCTGCACCACCTTTTCTACATGAAATAGCGAATCGACCCCTGTGGGCCCTCAAGCTTTAATCTAGGAAGAGAAGCGTCCCCGTGGGGGCCCTCACCATTTTGAAGCACAAGGCGAAATGTCCCTGGGGATCCCCGGACTCAACGTGTATCTGTGAAGGAAACGTCCCTAGCGCCCCTCAACCACGTTTTAGCGGCTGCATAAATTCCTGGGGCCCTCGACTTCTACTTATAGACTGAAAGAGTATCCTGGGGTCCCATCACCTCTTATAGATGAAAGGAGTTTCTCAGGTGCCCGCACCCTTTCCATAGAATGAACGGTCTACCTCGGGGGGCCCACCAAGTCCGCAAGGAGGGACTCACTTCGCCGCCAGGAAATTCCCTGTTCTCTGGGCATTCCACATACATTCTGTACCCTTTGCATGTCGCGCGGTCGCACATGGAAAGTCTATTCCGGAGAAGATGTCAGGGTAGCGACAGTTTAAATGTATTCCGCCGAGGACTGAGGAGCCTCCAATCAGAGGTCAGTGTGCGCCCTCCGGCTAATGACTATGCGACAACCACAGGCCTTTCCCTCTCCCTCAGCGTTCATCTCCTGAATATTATCATGTGAAACAGCCCATTGACACCCGTCAAATGCGAAAGTGGTCCTGACTTACCACATGTCAATGAATATGTGTAATGTCCCTAGGGGCGCCGCCTCCCCATGCGCCCCGATCCTTGCTCCCTGCCCCGCTACACTTCCATCAATATATAATATGTACCATTTCTACTGATATCCCTCTCTCCGGGCGCTCCTGCTTCCCAAAATCCATTCAGTCCTGTACACAGGTGTACCCAGCTGGCCTCACACCTTCAGAAGTCTTGCCACAGGTTGTATCCAGAGGCTCCTTCCCCTTCTGTCATTGCCACAGGTCTGATACCGGCCTCCTCCTCCGCTTCCAGTCTTGCACACAGTGTCTCTACTTTCCTGGCTCCTCCCCTTCATATCATGCTCACAGTTGTACTGGCTCCTCCCCTTCAGTCTGTGCAACAGGTGTTACTGGCTCCTAACCCATCAGTCCTTGCACAGGTGTAAGCCAGCTCCTCCCCTTCAGTCTTTTCACAGGTTGTACCGGGCTCCTCCCCTATTAGTCTTTCACAAGGTTTGTACCAGCTCCTCCCCTTCAGTCTTGCAACAGGGTATGTGTACTGGCTCATCCCCTACAGGTCTTGCACCAGGTGTACTGGCTCCTTCCCCTTCAGTCTTGCACAGGTTGTTTACCGCGGCTTCCTTCCCCTTCAGATCTTGCACAGGTTGTCACCATGCTCCTCCCCTTCAGTCTGTCCTGTCACTGGTGTACCTGTCTCCTCCCCATTAGGGTCTTTCACAGGTGTCTTATCCGGCTGCCTCCTCTTTAGTTCCTGACACATGTTGATGTACCGGCGATCCTCCCCTTGCAGTTCTGTGGTGGTGCAGGAATAAGTATTTTTTTACTTCCAGGGTGTGGGGATGAGTATATTGGGGGCGGGGGGGGGGAAGTATATTGGCGGGCTGGAAGTATATCGAGGGTTTGTCTGGGAAGTACTAGTGTTGTGTCCAAAATTATTCAACCCCCACTGAAATTTGAGTGTTTTGGCCATGCAAATGTCTTTTCTGTGCTCACAGCATTATCAGTTTTATTCAACCCCCAAGTGACATTTCAATCTTAGTACTTAGTACAGCATCCTTTTACAGTTATATAACAGCTTTTAAAACGTGAAGCATAGCTTGACACAAGTGTCTTGCAGCGATCTAACGGGTATCTTCGCCCCATTCTTCATGGGCAAAGGCCTCCAGTTCAGTCACATTCTTAGGCTTGCGCACTGCAACTGCTTTTTCTTTAAGTCCCACCAGAGGTTCTCAATCGGATTTAAGTCTGGTGACTGCGATGGCCACTCCAAAATGTTCCAGCCTTTCCTCTGCAACCATGCTCTAGTGGACTTGGAGGTATGCTTGGGATCATTGTCCTGTTGAAAGGTCCAACGTCTCCCAAGCCTCAGGTGTGTGACGGACTGCATCACGTTTCCATCCAATATCTCCTGGTACTGAAGAGAAGAAAATTCATGGTACCTTTGCACACGCTGAAGCTTCCCTGTACCTGCAGAAGCAAAACAGCCCCAAAGCATGATTGACCCTCCACCATGCTTCACAGTAGGGCAAGGTGTTCTTTTCATCATAGGCCTTGTTCTTCCCTCCTCCAAACATAGCGTTGATCCATGGGCCCAAACAGTT